AAGACTAATTATAAAATATTGAGATATAAAACCTGTGTTATTCATCCCATCCTGTAATTTCACTGATTTCACGTCTAAATACAATCTCATAATAACAGCTACCTGATAATACAAACATAAATGGGAACGAGATACCCATAAAGACGACTTTTTTTTACAAATCTCCGTGTAATAATTACAATAAAGGCTTTATTCTTTAGATAATTACAAAACTATACTAACATTTGCACACATGCGTGGGACATAGAATTGGTCTCCTTCCGGCGGAAACTCTCCAGCAGCCATATTAAAAACAATGTCAACACTATATACCACATAACGTTCTATATTCAAAAATGTTACAGAGTAACAACAAAATTTAGATACTTATTATAAAGAAAATTCTTTTATAACCCATTTTAAAATTCGAACGTAAACACTAGAGACACGCTGGGAAATGTCACGAACACTGAGAACTAAATTCTATAAACACAATCGAAGTAATAACATTGATGTTGTATGCGTGTATGTGAAAGCACGAGATGCACATAAGTAATGTGTGCAACAGTGCTTTGTTGGCGATGCTCTTTAATATTCGAATTACAATGACGGCGCTATAATCGTAGAAAATACTGTATAGTGAGGAATAGGTGTAAATTTTCGCAACTGTTCTATGTGTACTATAACAATGCACAATATATTAGATTTTAAAAAGTCAATTTATCATGATATGTATAAAAAAGATAAATTTTGTTTTATACCTAAATAATATAGAAATATTTAATTTAACTTGTATTGAGTAATTGCAGAAATTTGCATTTGCAGAAACTTTAGGAACTTTTGTAAAATTGTAACACTGTTAAAATCAAAATCAAATTAAAATCAAAAAAAGTTATGTCTTTTTTTTTTGATTTGTTGTGTTCAATATCCTAAATAAATATACGTAAAAAAATTAAAATATAAATATCTAAAATCAGTCAAATCAAACATACTACACATATTTAAGTGTAGTCAGGTTACGCCTCTTTACCTCTCGAATTGCTCTATGCAACCACCGAAGCGTACATACTCATTTTGTTTTTATTATTTTGGTACTTAAAACCATGTTATTACATTATATACGTTGCGGTTTCAGTTTCTAAGTTCAATATTCAATACTATAATTGCACATGTCAATGATTTTGAAGTAGGTAGTAGTAATAGTATAGTATTAGATGTACTATCTGTGGTAGTAGAGTATATGCTGTCCTACAACTAGGAAAAATATTGTTGTATTTTTTCTACCGCCTCACCTTAGAATGGTCATAAGTTCGATTCTCGCACTTGTATTCATGCCTGTCTATTTATATTTTTCTGTATACCTATATACCATATGGATATATCTAATATAATTACATATAAGAAATAATGTTTAAAATATTGTATGTCTATTAGTAATCTAGTACTCATATACTTCCCTTTTTTATTCCCTTCCATTTTTTTTTATGGGCGAAAATGTTATAGTAACCTCGCCTGCACTAACGGGATACGCTGGCGGAGCACCAGTGAAGGGTGATAGATGAGAATGAAAACAGGTCAGTTAGACCATCGTAATGAATTCATCAGGAATTAACCATGATAGTTTCCAGGGAGAACCGCGAAGAAGTCGACCTGGTTGGGTATAATACTAGTAATAGTACTAACAATCCCTTTCCCCCCCTTATGGGGAGGTTAGGTTACGTTCAGCAGTGTACAGTTAACAGCTGATGTGATAATAATCCATATACGTAACTACATATACTATGCAATATGTCCATTAGTATTTATTATTTATTTGAATTTTAATATCATTTGTTATTAATTTGAATACATTTTCATTTTAGTATGTTTACGAAAGCTTACTAAACGCCACCTTCACATAATGACTAGTGTTGGGTATTTAAGTATAAAAATAGTTATAATTGATGTATACTTTGATATATTGTATGTGTCAATTATTTTATTTTAATAATCACACGGGTTTTATTTATCAGTGGCGACGAGGATTAAAATAGCAAAAAAAAAAAAAAATGTCAGTGGGAAAACTAAGTGAGTTTGACGTGCAAGAGGGCAATTGGAAGTTATATATAGATCGGATGGACATGTATTTCAAGGCAAATACGGTTAAAGATGAACTGAAAGTACCGACACTTATATCGGTGGTTGGTGACGCGGCCTATGAACTTATGGTGAATTTGTGCAGTCCGAGTAAACCGTGTAAGAAAACATACAGTGAACTAGTTACACAGTGCAAAAGTTTTTACAACCGAAACCGTCGGTGTTGGCGGAGCGATATAGGTTTAGACAGTGTAGGCAAAGTAACGGTCAGTCAGTTGCACAATATGTGGCGCAGTTAAAGAAAATGGCGGCCAATTGTGAATTTAATTTAAATTTTAATGAAAATATGAGAGATCAATTTATTTGTGGAATATTAAGCGACGGAATCCGACAAAGGCTGTTTGCAGAGGAGAAGATAGATTTTGAAAGAGCACTTTCATTGTCGTTGTCTTTGGAGGCGGCGGAGCGGGACGCTCAGGTTGTCGAGAATAAGGAAGAAGGAGTTTCATTTCGCATGTTGCAAGGCAGGGCAATATCACAACGCGAAATAAACTTCACGAGTCCAGTTGTTGGGGTGTGGTGACATCCATCACACGTATAAACAGTGCAAGTTCAGAGACTATGTCTGTAGCCGTTGTAACCAAAAGGGACATCTACGGAGAGTATGTCCAGTAAAAGAACAAGGGTTATATGGAGATGATGCGGCGTGGACGGCTGGGCCCCGATATCGCGTTCAGCGGGGAGCTAATATCCAGCGCGGAAGGGGCGTCCAACGTAATCAGGAGATACGGAGCCGGGGGCGCGGTTATGGCACCGGAAACAATGCGAAGCGACTCGATAGCAAGGAAACTAGCCAATTTGGGTGCGTGAGGGTTTCGATGCGGGTCATCAGATGGAATATCTGTAGGAAGCTGACGGTAACGCGTCTGACAGTGATGAAGCAGTATATCAGATGTCTTTAGGACAATATAAACCGGTAAGCGTGACAGTTTGCATTAATAATCGAGTCATCACCATGGAAGTCGACACGGGATCGGCTTTGTCGTGCATAAGTGAAAAAATGTACACAGAATTATTTTTTGATATTCCGATAAATCCTTGTAACTTAATGTTAAGATTCTATGATGGTAGTCGAATAAAACCTGTTGGATTTATCGAAGTAAATGTAAAATATGGATTGTTATATAAAACTTTAGATTTGTATGTTATAAATAGTGGTACGACTAGTTTACTGGGCCGACAGTGGTTGGCGGAACTCGATATAGATATTCCTAAAATATGTATAAATAATGTTAGAAAGGATAATTGTAAATTGAATATTAATGATTGTAAAAAAAATATTTATTTCCAGATATTCTGAAGTGTTCGAGAATGGGTTGGGTTGTTATACGGGCGAATGCGCCGTTTTGCGCCTTCGGCCGCATGCGCAGCCCGTATTCTGCCGGGCGCGACCGCTGCCGTAAGCGGTACGAGAGCGGGTCGACGCCGAGCTAGATGCTATGCATGAGCGCCGGCGTCATCGAGCCCGTCGACCACTCTGATTGGGCTACACCGTTAGTAATTGTTCATAAAGCTGATGGATCTTTACGTTTATGTGTCGATTATAAGGTTACACTAAATCGTGTCTTATTAGTTGATAAGTACCCTGTGCCAAAAATCGAGGACTTATTTGCGAGATTAAGTGGAAGTACTATATTTAGTAAATTAGATTTGTCACATATTATGCACAAATACGGTTATCTGAGGACTCCACCGACCTCACTGTTATCAATACACATCGCGGTTTGTTCAAATACAAACGACTTGTCTATGGTTTGGCTTCAAGTCCGGGAATTTTCCAACGAATCATATATAATTTGTTAAAAGACATACCACATGTTACGATATTCTTGATGACATCTGTATAGGAGGGCGAACAGAAGAAGAGCATATTAAAAGTTTGATAGCTGTGTTAGAAAAATTGAAGAGTCATGGACTTAAAATAAAGAAACAAAAATGTATTTTTTTTCGAAGGAAATAAAATATTTGGGCTACATTATAAATAAAGAAATTTAGGGCAGACCCGGAAAAAATTAATCCAATATTAAAAATGAGGGCTCCTGCCAATGTCTCAGAATTAAAATCATTCTTTGGAATGATAAACTTTTATGGAAAGTTTATTAAAAATTTAAGCAGTTATTTGAGTTCAATGTATGAGTTGTTAAAAAAAAATAATAAAAAGTGGGTTTGGTTAAAATGTCATCAATCAGCATTTGAAAGAGTTAAATGTTTATTAAGTAGCAGTGAGGTGCTCGCTCACTATGACGCATCTCTGCCGGTGATGGTCACGTGCGATGCGAGTGCACACGGTATCGGGGCAGTGCTGTCGCAGAGCGTGCCCGGCGGCGGAGGCAGTGGCGCGGAACGAGTCGTAGCGTATGCTTCGCGCGCTCTCACGCCTGCAGAACGCAACTATAGCCAAATACATAAGGAGGCTTTAGCTATAGTTTTTGCTGTAAAGAAATACCACCAGTATTTGTATGGTAGGCAGTTTGTGTTGCGGACCGATCACAAACCATTAGTTAGTATATTTGGCCCACGTTCGGGTATTCCCAATATGACAGCCAGTCGATTACAACGTTGGGCCCTCATATTATCAGCATACGATTTTAAAATAGAATATGTTTCGTCTGAAAATAATACAGCCGACGCGCTTTCGAGGCTAATAGCTGCTTATAAGGCGGAGGGGGAGAGGAGGAAGACAGTCCCGAGCAGACTTATTTACATTCGCAGCAGATGCTTTCCTGTTAGATTATAATGATGTAAGGAAAGAAACAAAAAGAGATCCCCTACTAAGCAGAGTGCTTAGATATATTCGGGAAGGCTGGCCTACTAATAATGAAATAAAAGAATTACAACCTTTTTTCAATCGTAGAAATGAATTATATACCGAGTTAGATTGCATCATGTGGGGACATAGGGTAGTGGTGCCGTACAAACTTCAGGCGAATTTTGCAGGAGCTACACGAGACACATATGGGAATAGTAAAAACGAAGAGTGTCGCGCGCAGCTACGTGTGGTGGCCGGGGGTGGACGAGGCAGTGGAGCGGCAGTGCGCCGCGTGCGCCACTTGCGCCAAGTAGCGGACGCTCCGCGTGCACACCAAACGCGCTCGTGGCCCTGGCCGAATAAGCCATGGTCTAGAATACATCTCGATTTTTTAGGGCCAATGGGAGGTGTTAAGTATTTAGTGATAGTAGATGCTTGTTCAAAGTGGGTAGAAGCGATCAAAATGAAGTCTACTACAGCTTCACAAGTTATATATAAATTAAGAGATTTATTTTCTAGATACGGAATTCCTAAGCAGATAGTGAGCGATAACGGACCGCCTTTTTCGAGCGAGGAACTTATGCATTTCTGTAAATTTAACGGTATAGAACATCTATTTTCAGCTGTATATCATCCTGCGTCTAATGGGGCGGCTGAAAATGCGGTTAAATTGTGCAAAAAGGTGATTAAAAAAGCGATATTACAAAAGGTAGAACCGGAAACTGCATTGAATCGATTTCTTTTGATGTATAGAAATACAATACATAATACTACGGGTGACAGTCCGGCTCAATTATTTTTAGGTAGATCCATTAGAACGCGTTTGGATTGTTTAAGACCTGATAGGGAGAAACACGTGTCAACAGCACAACGCAAACAGGAACTGGCGGCTAGGGGGACACAGAGGTATTTCGAAGTGGGTGATAGGGTATGGTATAGACAGTTCGGCACAAAAACCAAATGGGGAGAAGGTATAATATTGGAAAAATTAGGCAGCACTGATTATAATATTCAAACTAAGGACAAGTCCATTAAACACAGGCACATAGATCAATTGAAAAGGCACGATATAGACACACAAACTAACGGTAACACGGAACGTAAGGATTCATGGCTGTGTCCAGAATTGCTATCTTTGCCTATCCCGGGTGAAAGTGAGGGGTCGGAGGGCTCGAGGGTGCCGCTAGCGGGGCGGGCGGCCAGTCCGGCAGAATGGGGGAGTGCCAGGGAGCGTAGGCTACCAGTCCGTTATGGATTGGATGAATATGTAACGATCTGGAATCAAACATAATTATGTAATATAGATTTTAATCATAGTATATTTTATTCATAGTATATAAACGGAAGGGTGAATATGTCATTGCATAAATATTGTGTTTAAAAGTTAATTAAATGATTATTAGGAATTAAGGGTGGAGGTGTTGGGTATTTAAGTATAAAAATAGTTATAATTGATGTAGGTACTTTGATATATTGTATGTGTCAGTCGCGCAATAAACGGAGTAATAATCACACGGGTTTTATTTATCAACTAGTAGCAAAAGTAATTTTTAATCATAATTTATTATTTTATTTATTAGTATTTATTATTATTTTATAATTTATTACTTCATCTTTATGTTTTACTTCTACGCTTTATAAGACTGCACTGTTATTAAGGTCACATTAGATAACAATTGACAATTTATGCTGTAATAAACTTATCGTTGATCTATCGCCAAAATTTTTCAACACTACACCTGTAACAGCTATAACATTAGATAATTCCGAGTTGTAACGCCAAACAGGTTGCAGAGCGTTCACTTTCACACCAACTTTTACTTTTTGGCGGTCACCATTTACGCTTTTTGTTTTATGCGCCGTTTCTGCACATCGCCTAATCTGTATTTAGGGATGTCTGTTTGAACTTATAATAAATTAGGTAACCCATCAAATATTATATAAATATTGTAATTGGTTGGCTACTATCAGAGATTAGCGTGAACAAACATTGTGACACAGAATTTTGTAAGTACATTAAAATTAGCTGTCTGTAATTTCCATCTAATCGTGACCAGAATATATTTATTAATCGGGTTAATTTTAAGGCTTTTTTATATCGAAACTACATCTATAAAAAAGGCACCTCTGTAAACTAATATTATAAATAAGAAAATTTTGTTTTTTTATTCGTTATGAATAAAATAAAAAAATGCTTAAGCGCTTTTAAAAATCCTTTCACATATTATATAATGGCTTATAATGGCTATATTATCGGCGAGTAACGAGGGCTGAATTTTATTTTTAAAATATTAGGGATCTATATTGTGTGAAGCCGAGGCGAGTCGTCAGTGTACTCTAATGCAAAATTTTATGTAGGTATATTATTTGAGCCGTTAAGTTGGCAAGTAGCAACGAACAAAAATCTTATTTCCATTTTACATATATAACTTTACATAATAAGAATAATGTCATGATTTAAATCATCATCATCACAACATCATCGCATCATAGCATATTAAGAAATTTAAAGTTACAACGATCTTTAATAGTTCGGTTTTTTCTTCCAATTCTCCATCTCTTACTAGTCTTTTTTGTAATGAGTAAAAAAGAATGGTAACCCGGTCTGCGCTATCGGTATACACTAACGTGGCACAAGTAGAGATCATAGGTAAAGATGAAAGCAAGTCAATTAGCCCGTCGTGACAAATGTAACAAGAATAAATCACGATGATTTCCAGGGGGAACCGCGTGGAGGTCGCCCTAATACATTATAGAAATATACTCTATTAGAGCGGGTAATAGTATTGTTAAATCCCATTATTAACAATCTCTTTCCCCCTCTTGCATAGTCTTATAACATACAATTATAGAAAGAGATACTTGACTTCATGCAATTAGAGTGTAAATTTTTATTATGCATAAATTTTTTTAGTTGTTTTTAATATTTGTAATATATCCTATATTTCAAATGTCGAAAACAACTAACTATATTTTTATTGTTGTTTTTATAGCTGTTTTATTGTTTTAACTTTTTATCGATTTATTTTCTTAATCCTGCTGACGACACGGCTGTGAAACATATTTATGGGTAAGAGCTCCTATCGAATCTGAAACTAGTCAAACAATCGATGTAAATAATTATTATAACAATTCTAAGTTCCAGCTTAAATTTTTATTAGAATAGAGAACTGTAAAAATGGCATTAAAGATTATTGAAAGGAAGAGGGAGTTGCTATCAATAAATAGCTTTAGTTTTGTAGTGGCTCATTTGAATTTTTATAATTATCATTCAAGTATATGCTTCGTCTATATCTATGTATGTCTATAAAAATTCAACGTAATACATTATACAATTTTTTTATCATTTATCACAGAAACATGGTTCAAATTACATTAGTGACAGATTGAAACATTCAATCAATTTGTTAATTTTGAACTTTCACTTTGTTGTTCAATCAATTAATCTATTTTTGATTTGTACCACAATTACGAACATTAGCAGACTGTCTATGGTCGCTATGGTCGGGTCAATTATTCGTTTGTTTACATTTACTTTGAGTTCTATAGGAAATTGATTATACAAACTGTGTAACCGAGCTACTACCATCTATCGTACAACTCCGACAATTCATTGTTACTTTCAATTGTTAGCGCGTGCCCACATGAATATTGCGTGCTCATGCTCATACAATTAATTCTCGTGTATTGTTCACTTACTGTTCTGTGGCGCCATCTAATCTGATATAGTGTCTATTGTTAGCTAGTGATGTCGCTAGTTTTCGTTTAAGAATCTTTTCTGACAGTTATTTCTTTACGTCGACTTTATGCAGTTTAAAAATAATTTAAATGATCTTTTTTTTTAAATAAGGGAGTATCGAAATAGACTGGAGGTGTTTAACGTATGTACGAATTTAAATAAGTCCGGATCTTTGGTAGCAATTTGTAGCCTCAATAATTTATAGAAATTCAATAAATGGAAGTACGCTAGCTCGCCATATAGCATTCTGGTGGTTTTGGTGTTCGTATCATCTATGGTAGTTATAAATAAGTCAGATTTATGTACCTATAATCTAACGTTTACTAGATATGTGACTGTAAGAACAATAAACAATATGTCATGTAAACTAAATATTGGTGAGGATGGGAAGGCATAACTACCACTTGTTGGGGGGAAAGGGATTGTTGGCAATGGAGTTTGACAGCCCCACTGCTAACAATATGCCCTATTAGGTCGACCTCCACGTGGTTCCCCCTGGAAACCATCGTGAACAATTTTTGTTGAATTCGTCACGATGGGCTAACTGACCTGCTTCATCCTCACCTATCATTCTTCACTGGTGCCCCGCCGGTGTATACCGATAGCGCGGGTGGAGTTATCATTCCATTATCACCCATTAAAAAAAAACTACCACTTGTTAACAATATACCCTATCAGATCGACTGTCACACGGTTCCCTCTGGAAACTATCGTGGTTAAGGCTGAATTCGTCACGATGGGCCAACTAACCTATTTCATCCTCACCTATCATCCCTCACTGATGCCCCACCTATGTATAGCAATAGTGCGGGCAATGTCACTATTTCATTTTCATCCATTAAAAAAAGTCTGAATATATTTGAAGTAACAAAAAAAGATGCCAAAAAATATATGTAAAAATTAATATAAAAAAAAATAATATAAAAATACAAATATGTATATAAAAAGAACCGACTGGCCAAGCAATCAGCAACAATATGTAACCTACTAAATATAAATTTCAAAATTATATGAAATAACTAAACTGTGTTTCACAAAAAAAATTACTACAATTGTGGCTAAACCAAATTGTGTTGATTTGAAAACTGAACTACTGAACCGATTTTGATAAAATGTCTATGAAATCAATCTGTAAGTATATCTTCTTAGATAAAAAAAAGAAGAATTTTCCAAAAAAATTACGTAGTTATGAGATAACAAACATTAAAAATCATACAATCGAATAAACCTCTAATAGTTCCATTGCTAGCAATGTACCCTCATCAGGTCGACCTTCACGCGGTTCCCCCTGAAAATCATCGTGGTTAATTCTTACGGAATTCTTCACGATGGGCTAACTGACCTGCTTTCACCCTCACCTATCACTAATCACTGGTGCCCCGCCAGCGTATACCGATAACGCAGGCAGGATTACCATTCCATTTTCACCCATTAAAAAAAACCGAATAAAACTCCTTTGTTTTTGAAGTCGGTTGAAAATAAACCGCTCCGTGTGGAGCGTGTGGACGACGTGAGTGTTCACGTCGTCTTTATAAAAATGTATCAAGTATCACGTTTGACCAGTACAACTTGAAAGTGCCGCTTTCGGTGTCCTGTACGCTTTTACCCACCTTCCTTGTATTGATCGATGAAAGTGAGCGAGCTGTGGCAGGTTGAGAAAGAATCACCTATATGATTATATACCTTAATGGAAAGGTTTTATGCCGTTCTATTTTTTTTACGCCTCTCTAAATGGCAGCCATGCTCGGACCGGCTGGTATGAAAATGTAACTATCTGTCATATATATATGGTAATAAAATATTTTTTCAATTCAATTCAATTGAATTTATTTATTTAACGGTATATAATTGTATCAATTTCTGTATATAAGACGGAGTAACCAGAAATTGTGCTGAAAGATTAACCTTTGTTTATTTTTTATTTGCCCTAAGTATTAATAGAAATATAACAAACTATTATCGATGTATAGATAGCTATCAAGAATTCTAATTTAATATTTAGATATCTGTTACTTTAATAAAGAATAATTTATTAACTTAAATAAAGTATAATTTTCTACAACGCTTCATTTCTCTTTCTACACTATTGTTATAAAGAGGAAGGATTTGCATTTTTGTGTGCATGTATGTTTGTAATGAATAAACTCAAAAACTACTTTGCTGATTTCAAAAATTCTTTCACTATTAGAAAGCTACATTCACCCTGAGTAACATAGGCTATATTTATTGCTATAAAAGATTAGGGATCTTTACTAAAACTTCAGTAACGTAACTTAAGGTAAAAAAATATAAAAAAAAATGCTATAAAATATTTTTCGTTGCATGCACTACGAAAACTATTGGTAATAGAACAAAAGTATGTTACAACATTGAAGAAAATATCAATAACTACAAAAAACTTCTCGATAATATATATCCAACTAATATCGTTATGTCACAATAACCACTTTTTAAAATGTTGTAAAAAAGCCCACCCGTGCGAAGCCGGGAGGAGCCGCTAGTCACATAATTATCACATCACCACACACTTATAAAAATATTTTCTGGAAATA